CTCCTCAGAAGCGCAAAGAAGCGCTGCCCCCTGAGAAGGACAAAATGAGCCCAAAACCTTCGTAAAATCAATGATTTTGCTATGAAGGAAGATGAGCGCGGCCCCCTCGGGAGGCCAAAATGGGGCCAAAACCCTCGTAAAAGCAAGGATTTTTGGCTTCACAGAAGAGGAGGGGGCTACAAGAGGGTCCCCCCGTCGGGGCCAGAATCCTCGTGAGGGTCGTCGTTTTTTGGCCCTCCCAGGCGTCGAAAAAGACCCCCCTGACCACCCGCGGGGCTCCCTCTCCAGGCCCAGGGGGAGGGGGTAGGGGGAGGGGTAAACCCCTCCCCGAAGGGGAAGAAGGGGGGTTGGGGGGTTGAGAACAGAGAGAGCTCGCTAAACCACTCACGCCCAAAGGGCTGGTGGGACTTCATAACATTAATGTTCGGGGCGGGGTCTCCAGGGGAGAGAGGGGGGACACGAGCTGACGAGGGCCAGGAGACGGAGGAGGAGGAGGATGAGGAGGAGGTGGAGGAGGAGGAGGAGGAGGGGGGGCGCGACGCTGACGACGGCCAGGAGACTTTGGCGGCATGCCTTAGGTCGGCCACTGGTGTCATCGAACGTGCCCACACTAGTAGCGATGTCCCCGACGAGGCCCAACATCGCACTGGCGTCTTTCGAGCGCGACGTCCGAGTGGCATCGAGGTGCGTGGGGTGGGGGGGCACTTCCTCAGATCGGGCCCACATCTTTGCCTGGATATCTGCAGCCCAGCTGCCTAGACATTCTGTGCGGGCGATGCCTTTGAGCAGCTCAGCCTCAGATTTTTCCCAGAAACGGCGTAGGCCCAGGGTTCTCTCTTAGGATGGTAAACCTGTCCCCGGTGCCTCAACTGAGGTGGGCCGGCGGATTCTTTCCTAGAAAAATATCGAGGTCGAGGTGGGCCGGCGGATTAAAATTTGAGGATGTCTCAGGCGAAACGCTTGTTTTTGAAATCCCGATCGATGAATCACAGGGTGCGGGCCACTCTTTCGTGTGTTGAGGATGTCTCGAGCGAAAGGCTTGCTCCGCAGAGTTACCGAGGATGTCTCGAGCGAATCGCTTGTTTTGTAGAACTTGAGGGATCTGGGCGCCCCAGAGATTTGCCTTCTCCAGGTGCACGAACCCGTGGGTTTTTACGTATGTGCCTGTAGATTTGCTCTCTCCAGGTGCACGAATCCATGTGCTTTTACGTATGTGCGTATAGATTTGATTTCTCCAGGGGCGCGACCACACCCCAGCACGACCACACCCCAGCACGACCACACCCCAGCACCCCACCCCAGCACGACCCCACCCCAGCACGACCAAACCCCAGCACGACCACACCCCAGCATTACCCCACCCCAGCACGACCCCACCCCAGCAAGACCATCACCCAGCACGACCACACCCCAGCACGACCTCACCACAGCACGACCACACCCCAGCACGACCACGCCCCAGCACGACCACGCCCCAGCACGACCACGCCCCAGCACGACCACCCCCCAGCACGACCCCCCCCAGCACGACCACCCCCCAGCACGACCACCCCCCAGCACGACCACACCCCAGCACGACCACTCCCCAGCACGACCACACCGCCTTGGTTGAGTGGTTGCCTGTCGTCGTGGAATGTTTCGTGGGGTGTCTCGTGGACTGTTTCGCGGGGTGTCTCGTGGAATGTTTCCAGGAAAACGTTGAAAACGGTCGCCCGTGTCTCGTGGAATGTTTCGCGGGGTGTCTCGTGGAAGTGCCCGTCGCCCAACACGGTGTCGTGAAAACGTTTCCATGCATGCGGTTCTATATCCCTTTCCGGGTTCGTGGGTCCATCATGTTTGGAATGCTTTCTGACTTCGACAACGACGCCCCCCTCGCCCGAGAGCGAACCATCAATCGCACTCCAAATCATGCGCCACACATCTGCAAGGGGCCGGTGCGTTTGGCAGCACCGTGCGCGCCCGCGCCAACACCCTCGGCATACAGTGGCATTGCCAATGCCCACACGCAGGGGTGCGGTTCCATGTCGGAGGACTTGCAAGAAACCCCAAAGTTCAGCTCACAGAATTCTTTGGGCAAGCCTAACTCCAGGGACAGTGCCGTGCATTCCTTTCCCAACATTGCCCTTAGCATCATTTAGACAAAAAACCCACCCATAAGCCATGATCCCCTGACCCCCATCCTCGAACCTTCAGAATACGCCAGGCCCGAGAGGAGAGGGTCATCCCCACCGTCGGGGCCCAGAGCTTTGGCCACAGGTGCCACATCCTGATACGGGTCTCCAAAAGGATGTGGGGCAGGACCCCCACAAAGCAAACCAGAGAAAGCTTTAAAGGTGGAAGCACGACGATCAACCTCAGGAAACGTTTCTCTCGCTTGCGCCCTTTGTTCTTCAATGGCCGGGCATCTGCAACATCTGTGGTGCCGGTTACCTATGGCACGCCTGCACCTTTGGCAATTCCGTGCCTCTGAGTGTCCCGCTCCCAAAACCTGATCCTGAGT